TTTAGGTACGAAACACGGATAGTTTGCATACATAAATAAAAATAAATATTAATACATTATAAATAAAAAAAATTAGATGCCTTAACATACATAAATGTATAAAACATAATTTATATAAATTAATATATGGAATTATAATTTATATAAATTCTTACAATATTGATTTACAAAATATAATATAATTATCTGAGTGTTGACTTTACTTCAAATAATTGATATAGAAAAAAATTCTATAATTATAATTTCGAAATAAATAAAATGTTTATATTCATATGTATGTATATGTAATGCAAACACAATATCGGTGTTATACATTAACAAAATATTAAAAAGGAAATATAATGAGTCTAGACAAAGTAAGATTTTTCTGAGATTGTATATATGATTCTATTGATTTGCCTTTTATGAAAAAGATTTTAATATAGTCCGAATACCGTTGACCCAAGCATAATGTGTCTTCTAACAAAGATATATTTTTACATGATAATGAATTTATAACACCCGTTGGTATGCCGCACGTTGTAAACATTTCGCAATATGGTAATATATTATAATAATTTGCATCATTAATAATAATGGCGGTATTTCCAGTAATTAAAGTTAACAGTAATCGGACAAATAAAACATTTTCATTCTCTTCCTTAAGAATGATAACACCTAACGGTACGCGAGAATGCATTACTTCTATTTTTGCAGCTGGCGAAATAAATCCTATGACATTTGGATAAATATTTGAGAAATTTATCCATCGTTCTACTATAGTTGCCAATACAGGTTTACTAAAAGGAAAAAAAACAAATTTTTAAGAGTAAACATAGGTAAAATATTATGTAAAAACATACAAGAACTTCTTCCAATAATGACGTACCCGATAGAAATCAACATGGGTATGAGATTAGATAATATTTTTATTCTGAGTTTACTAGATTTATCACTCCAAATTTCGAATCCTTTCTTGGCTGATTCATAACACTTTACAATATCGCTGCTGTAATAACGATACATTAATTGATTACAAGTCCTACATGTATTTAATTTTTTAAATTCAAGGGTTATCGTGATTAATAAAATTGAGAAAACATGTGCATTCATACATTGTAGCATTGGCCCATAAAATGTCATTGTGCTTCCAATATGTGTTTCGTATGGGTTTTTGCCACATACCATCATAAAACAGATGATATATTAAAGAATTCGTTTCAGGAACATTTGATAAATATATTTCACTTTTTGCTTTCTATTAAATCACTTTTATCTGAGTTTATTTTGCATCTCAAATTAAATGTAATTTCTTTCTTTTTGCGATAATATATATCCAGATAAGGCAAAAACATTAAATCACCATCATATTCCATATATGAATTTATGAATACGGTACACTTCTGAATAATTAAG